GGCTACAGATGGCTTTGGCACATGACGGGACTCATTTGTCTTGGAAGTCACTTGCCCATCTCTCCCAAGGCAAAAGGGCCTCTGGGGGAGCCGAGCAATGTTACATTCACCAGCTGAGAGAACAGCCTGCGGTGGTTGTTATTTTTAGGGCCGGATCCATTCTGCTTTGGACAAGAAACAGTCCTGCATTGTAATACATTGGCAACTTGGTGGCTTCTGCTTCGGTGGAATAGTAAACCAGACTCAAGTCTGAATGGTAAATAAACTATCCAAGATGAATTGAGCCCACAACTCTCCATAGGTTCAAGAGCTTGCATGGCTCTTTTACAAATTGGGTTAGAATTTGGCCCGGATTCTCCCAGCAGTCCCTCCAAGTTGCTGGCGGGGATTGCAGCATTTATGGCACTGCATGGGATATGATGTTTTTGTCCATCGCAGCACCCAGTATGCCCCAATTGCCATGGCTAGGGGATGCTGGGAGTTGTGTGATGAAAAGAAGCCGCAGTCTTTGCATTTGGATTCTCTGCCCCAGCTTGTGTTGGCTAGGCACTGTGCCGAGAGTGGAGGCAAAGTGTTTTCAGACCAGGCCTCCGGGGAATCCAGGGAATTGGGCAAACACAAAGGAAACAGCATGTCCCTCGGATGGGATTTTTCATCACCTTGAAATGAGATACGCGGGGAAGGCTTGGCAGCGTTTCTCCAACGATCAAAGAGCAGCTTTCTTGGCACCAAATTGATCTGTGACGTTGCCTGGGGAGTTTGTGCTTGAGCAGAGTGAGGAAGGGAGGGCTCGTTTCTTAAGCCTGGCATTGGAGGGGGCAGGTGGAAGAAGACAATGGAGGCGATGGCGGCGGGGGCATTTGAGGAGTCCACACTTTCTCAGCCACAGTAGGATTGCCATGAATTGGAAATGACTTGAGGGCCTACCGCCAGAAAATGGACTTATATTGGTGAGGCAGAGAATCCAGCCTTTGAAACATGTCTGTATCAAGCAAAATGCGCACAGAGTGTTGGGACCAATGCATAACCTTGGAAGAGAGCATGGGATTTCTTGTGGTCTCCCATTCAAGGACTCACCAGGGCTGTCCCTGCTTCACATCCAAGATCAGATAGGACCTGGGGCTTTGAAGACACTTAGGCAAGAAAATAGGATAAACTGAATGAAGCTGCTCATCCAACGCCAGCTGGAGGTAGTACGGATTGGGCGTACCATGCATAAAGGTCTGGGTTGCTGTGAGTTTTCTGGCCATGTTCCAGAAGCATTATTTCCCGATGTTTCGCCCATATCTATAGAAGGTATCCTCAGAGGTTGTGAGGTCTGTTGGAAACTAGGCAAGTGGGGTGTATGTGTGTGTGCGTGTGTATACGTACATACATACATACATACACCTTTAGAATAATGTCCAGTGTGGGAGAAAGAACTCTTGTCTGTTGGAGGCAAGTGTGAATGTTGCCTTTGGCCAGCTTTAATAGCATTGAATGGCCTTGCAGCTTCAAAGCCTGCCTGCTTCCTAATAATAATAATAATAATAATAATAATAATAATAATAATAATAATAAAAATAGTGACAGCAAGGGCACTTCCCACACAGAAGAAAAGATGTTCTGTGCAGAAAATGACATTTCTGCACACACAATGATTTTTTTGTGCCGAATGAATTTGGAACTCTTGTTTGTTGGAGGCAAGTGGGAATGTTGCCATTGGCCAGCTTGATTAGTATTGAATAGCCTTGGATGTTCCAATGTGCCTTCGAATAATGGTTTAGCTACTGATTAGTCTGCCTAGCCCTAATCTTTTGGTTGGATCTCCAGCATTTTATTTCTAGCCTCGGCCCTACAGTTTGCATTGCCAAAAGTCCTTGTCCTGCCCTATTAGTCCCAAATCTGCACATACTCACTTTTCTCAACTACTGGTTGTTCGATGTTTAGTTTATGTTTTATGATGTCTTACATTTTATTGGTTTTACTGTTTTTATACATTTTACTGTTATATGTTTTTAATTGTGTTACTTGTAACCTTTGTTTATATTGGGCTTGGTCCCCATGTAAGCCGCCCCGAGTCCCTTCGGGGAGATGGAGACGGGATACAAGAATAAAGTTATTATTATTAAGTTATTATTGCAGCTTCAAAGCCTGGCTGCTTCCTGCCAGGGGGAATACTTTGTTGGGAGGGGTTAGCTGGCCCTGAATGTTTCCTGTCTGGAATTCCCCTGTTTATTGAGTGTTGCTCTTTATTTACTGTCCTGCTTTTAGAGGTTTTTTTTAATATTGGTAGACAAATTTTGTTCATTTTCATGGTTTTCTCTTTTCTGTTGAAATTGTTCACATGCTTCTGGATTTCAATAGTTTATCTGTATCATCTGACATGGTGGTTGTGAGAGTGGTCCAGCATTTCTGTGCTCTCCAATAATAAGCTGTGTCCAGGTTGTTTCATCAAGGGCTCTGCTATGGCTGACTTCTCTGGTTGATTTCATCTACAGTACCTCTTGTTTTCCTTGACGAACCAACCTGGACACAGCATATTGTCAGGAGCCCCTGGTGGTGCAGTGGGTTAAACTCTTGTGCCGGCAGGACTGAAGACTGACATGTCACAGGTTCGAATCCAGGGACAGTGCAGATGAGCTCCCTCAGTCAGCTCTGGCTCCCCATGTGGGGACATGAGAGAAGCCTCCCACAAAGACGGTAAAACATCAAAAATCTGGGCATCCTCTGGGCAACAGCCTTGCAGACAGCCAATTCTCTCACACCTGAAGCAACTTGCCATCTCTCAAGTCACTCCTGACATACAAAACAGCATATTATTGGAGAACACAGAAATGCTGGACCACCTTAACAACCACCATGTCAGACTACACAGAGAAGCCATTGAAATTCACAGGCATATGAACAATTTCAACAGAAAGGAGGAAACCATGAAAATGAACAAAATCTGGCTACCAGTATTAAAAAATTCCAAAATTAGGACAGTAAATAAAGAGTTGCATTCAGAAAACAGGGGAATTCAGGAAGACAGGAAGCAATCAGGGCCAGCTAACACCTCCCAAGCAATTATTCCCCCAGGCAGGAAGCAGCCAGGCTTTGAAGCTGCAAGGCTATTTAATGCTAATTAAGGTGGCCAATGGTAACATTCACATTTGCCTCCAACAGACAAGAGTTCTTTCTCCCACCCTGGACATTATTCCACAGGTATATAAACCCCACTTGCCTAGTTTCCAACAGACCTCACCACCTCTGAGGAGGCCTACTGTAGATGTGGACAAAACATCAGGAGAGAATGCTTCTGGAACATGGCCAGACAGCCCAGAAAACTCACAGTAACCCAGTGATTCCAGCCATGAAAGACTTTGACAACACATTGCATAAAAATAATTTGGTACATCGCTAATAGAAAAGTCTACTACATAGGGGCCTTCATAGTCCGGTTTTGCTCAGTCTCCCTTTTTTGACTTGGGTCCAGAGACCTTTTTCCTATTCCAGGGTCCATGGCCAGGTTGGTTCACCTTTTGCTGACTCGGTGCCCGAGTGACGGCCAAGGGACCCTAGTATTCATAGCCTAGCTCAGGTCTGGGTAACCGCAGCTTCCTTGATCAAATCAACCCATCTGCTGTGTGGTTTTCCTTTCGTCTCACTATTGCCAGCAACCTTGGCCACCTTCCGTCACTTGAGCAAATGGGGAGCAACACTGCAGGAATGCCATGAAAGCCTGGGCACCTGGGCACTGACCACTTCAGATGTGCAGTGGACACTTCCCAATGCCCTTTGGTTACTCATGTAGCTGCTTGGTAAAGTTGAGAAACTTCTCCGTTTTGGTGCCATTGATGACGGCTCAAAGATTTATTACAATCAACAGATCAGATCAAACAAGTAGAATCGAAGAAAGAATATTAATAACAAGATTATATAAAAATAAATATTATGAGATACAAGTAAAAAATCCCTTGTGTTTGTGATGTTGTATTTTGCTGACAAGTGAGCGCTGTGGCACAAAAGCTGGCCACTTTAACTGTTACCATTGAATTCCAATCTGCCAGTAAAACTCACCTGTTCTTCCAGGAATGCTTTGTGGAATTGGGTGGATAAAAGTATGTCAGAAGCCGCTGTAGAAGGAACAATATAACAATACATGTCTTGTTGTCTCAACTGAGCCAACACAAGGACATAGCGTGCATCATAAGGAACATTGTTATACCTCACCTCTAATAAGGCTTAAGGTAAAACATTCAATTGTACTAGGGTGAATGCTTTCTTGTTATTTTGGAGGGGTTCAAATGTTAAAATGACTTGCTAACATATAAGACTGACCTCTGTCTCTGAATTCAGGATATACAGTAGCAGCTACTTATATGGTACTGCAACTCACTGGTATAGTTTCTTTTTTGCTTTCATATATCCCATATATTGATGATGGCGTGCCAAGCAAAATGCCCACTACAAATTTCCAAACGACTCTTCTTCCTCATAAGAGTTCGAAGATCCTTGGAGGAGGGATGTCCTCTCCTCTCTCCTCTGCCCTGTGGCTGATCGTCCTTATTATTATTATTATTATTATTATTATTATTATTATTATTATTATTATTTGGTACATAACAAGATTAGTACACAGGAAACAAGATCATTATGCTGGGTTTTGTATTGGATCACACATTGAACACTTTCCAAGTGTCTAGGACTGTGTGATGTATTGGTGAATAATGCATGCAGATCTGAGTAGGGTGGCCTTTTGCAGCAGACAGATGGCAATTTTGTCAGCGCCGATTGTGTTTAAGTGCAGGCCAAGGTCTTTAGGCACTGCACCCAGTGTGCCGATCACCACTGGGAGCACTTTTACTGGCTTGTGCCAGAGTCTTTGCAGTTCTATCTTTATATCCTCATATTGTGTCAGCTTTTCTAGTGGTTGTTATTATTAATATTAATATTGACAATAAATAATTATTAATGAATAATAATTTATTGCTGTTATATTATTATTGTTATTGTTATTATTATTATTATGTTTTTAGGTCTTTTCAGGTAGTGCTGAGGGCTGGCCATGACTGACACAGTGGTTGGCAACAGCACCAATCAGTGGGTATACCAAAACGACCGGCAGATGGCCCTTCGAGGCGGGTAAGAAGGATTCGGTCCTTTGGGGTTGCCTCCTACGGGTGAAGGATGGGAGGCAGACAATTGCCACGTTTATTCAAAGATGCCAGGGTGGTGTACGATGAAATAGACCTTGACATTGTGCTGTCTGGTTTTGTAATGTTTATTGTTCTGTTTATACATTCATGTACCTATTGTATTCTGTGTGTTATCGCACTCTTGAGTGCTTTGTGAGCTGCCACAAGTCCCTTTGGGGAGATGGTGATGGGATACAAATAATTGTGGCGCAGCTGGCTGAGTGTCAGCTGCATTAAGATCACTCTGACCAAAAGGTCATGAGTTCGAAGCCAGCTCAGGTTTTAACATACAACATATACAGACATACACAGAGGCTATTCAACTTTTTCTGGCCGCCAGGGGAGCTGTTGCTTTCATCGTCCATCTGTGACACTGATGAAGTACTTCCGCATTCCCCGCATGCTTTTTGCTGGAGTGGGTTTCCAACCAATTGTGTAGCCTGTTGTCGACCTTTGCAACCCGAAAGACAGTTGCATCTGTCAAGTAGGAAAATTAGGTACCACCTTAAAGTGTGGGGAGGCTAAATTAACTAATTTATGAGGCCATAAAAGACTCCAGCAAAGCACTCCAGCAAAAAGCATGCAGGGAATGCGGAAGTACTTCATCAGTGTCGCAGATGGACGATGAAAGCGACAGCTCCCCTGGCGGCCAGAAAAAGTTAAATAGCCTCTGTGTATGTCTGTATATGTTGTATGTCAAAAATTGGCATTGAATGTTTGCCATATATGTGTACACTGTAATCCGCCCTGAGTTCTGTGGGGTGAGAAGGGCGGAATATAAATGCTGTAAATAATAAATAATAATATTTATTATTATTATTATTATTATTATTATTATTATTATTATTATTATGCTGCACGACCCACAAACTCACAGAGCCTACTTCCCCCGAACTCCACCAATGTCTGACTCTGGCTTGCCATCCATCCTGGGCAGCGATGGGATCCCAGCTCCAAAAGAGAAAGAAGTCATCTCAGCTCACCAAGCCCTGGACTGTCTTCAGTGTGGGTTTCAGCACCATGGAGAGCGGCTTCAAACCCACCACAAATATAGCGTTAGAGCTTGGCAAAGTGGCTCTTCCCCTTTTTTCCCCTCCCTTCTGCACCCTGACTTTTTTGCATTGACTCTGACTTTCTTCTCCTCCCCCCCCCCCTCTTTTTTCATGTGGCTCCAAAGTGGGAAAGAACCGTAAGTCCTCTTTCGACCTGTGGCCTGTTCCTTTTGACTGTTTTGGATTTGCCTATTTCAACGTGTGTGCGTGATTGGGAGCTTGGAAATATTCAAGCAGTGTTTCCAAGAGGCAGCACTTTGGAGAGGATTTTTGAGGCTTATTGCAACTATGCTCTCTAAATGTGCAGGAGCTTAGCACAATGGGCTTGGGGACCTCCATCCAAACAGACTGAGTCATGAGTGGCCCTCTTATGCACTTCATGCTTCTCAAGTGCTCTTCAGTGTCCTCTAAGGCACCTGGAGGTGCATTGTGGCTGATGGCTCTTCAAAAGTCACCACTGGCCTTGGCATGGCTTGATGTGCTTGAGATGGGCTCTTCCAATCTCCTTGTCGTCAGTTGTCGGAGTGTCTTTGTTATGACGGGAGATGTTACGTGGCATATTTTATGGCTGCGACGGAGAGGGCCTTCTAAACCGACAAAGCCAAACAAAGATGGTTTTATTGATTGGGAGAAAGCAAATACCGGACGGCATGCATCGGGCCCACAAAGCCCGACTGGTGATAGGGATAGTTTCGGTAACCCAAGCTGGGAAGAAGCTGTGGGGAGATGGATGGCAGGCCTGATTGGACATGAAAGATAATTGGTCTATTGAACAGCAGCCAACGGGTTTGGCTTTCAATTTCCAATCAATATGTGCAATTCAGCACCCACCTCTTTTCCCCCATTGCTAGGCTTTTCTCTCCTGATACTTCCAGCGTTGGCTCCCATCAGCCTCGGGTCAGGGATGCTAGGAGTTAGAGTCTGAAATATGGAGAGCTGTTCATGTACGGGGCATGTTCCCCATGGCAAATGGCCCTTTGGGGAAAATGCGTGGCATTTTTTACATGAGCGACAGAGCATTATCCCTGTGATTGTTTGCAAAATATAGACTGCCATGGTGAGACAGACCCAGAGACAGGTTCGTTTGACAGGCAGAAAATGCATTCGCTGATTACCCGGGAGGAGAAAGGGATGGTGATAAAGCGATAAGTCGGGCGCAAGAACAGTCTTTTTGCACTTGGCCTTTTGGTTCCTTTTTAGCTCGCTGCCCTCGAAGGAGGAAAAGGCAAATGAATTCTTCCTTCCATTCTAGCCTTGTGGAGAGAGAGGCGTTGCTGCACAAAAAGAGGGCAAATGGCTGGGTTGAGTTGATCAGGCCTGGGTTGAGTCTTTCATCACAGGGAGGCCTATCATCCATAGCATTGACACAAGTCCGAATGGACTTGACAGCAAAAGAGCAACAACGATCAGGGAATGCACGTCCCATGTCGATTCCAAATCCCAGGCTTGTGTGGAGTGCACGCTTCGTTTGCACCCATAGCTCAGGCGCTGTGTGTTGCCTGCCTCCTTCTCCTGGGCCTGCAGAAGGGGGAGACAGCTGGTGTCACACCAACAACACCATCCAGGAAGAGACAGTGGCGAATTCCACTTGGCCTGCAGTCAGAATGTTAGTGGCGGAGACTCGGGAAGCAACCCACAGCCGCGGCATCCCCAGAAAGCACAACCAAAGCCAGGGAATCTTTCAGGGTTGTTGTTAGACGGACACACCTCTAAGTCCCAAAGCAGATGATCTCACCCTCATTTATGTGTATGCATGGTGCGCTTGTCCAAGAATGAGTTTTTTTGCCGGGGGGGGGGGGGAGGATGATATCCCAGCCCTCCCATCAATGAGCTCAGTCTCAAAAGGGTTACTTTCCTGAGCTCCGAGGTTTGAATGTAAGAGAAAGGATCTTGGAAAAGCTCCTTGCTTGGGGTGAGAGGACTCTTTCCCAAGCTCTGGTGCCCACCAATGTTCCTTCTAGTGTGCCTGGCTTGGAGGCATGTTCCCAAATGCTTTTTATATTACTTCCAGGTCCTCCAGCGGTTGGTCAGCCCACAGCAACCAGCCAGAGCATGGCCGGAAGAATGAAGATCTGACGGACGAGGAGAAGGAGATCATCAATCGGGTCATCGCTCGGGCGGAGAAGATGGAGGAGATGGAGCAGGAGCGCATCGGGTAAGGAGGTTGCGTTGGCATGGAACATGAACCAAAAGAGGCCTGTAGGGTGGGGCAGCAGGGTCAAAGACACCCATGAGGGCAGAATTAAGCACAGTAGGTGCTGGACCTATTTGGAGGGTACAATCAGGTGCATTAAAGATCAGGTGAAAAGGCATGCTGGGTTCCTTGCCCAAATGTTGTGGGGTCTGCCAACACTACCAATGGGTGGGGTTGTGTTGGGGAGGAGGGTGGAGACCTCAGAATCCAATGATAGCTGGCATTTTGGCATTATGTTATGTGGGTATATGCATTCCTTATGGCATCCCATGATATCGTTGCTGCCAATGCATGGAAAGGCCATCGCCCATCATTCCGCATTGCGTACTGAGCATCCATGTGGATTGCATCACTTCCCTTGGGAGCATATGGTGCATTGCCCATCCATGTCTGCCGTGCATTTGGTGGTGCAGCACTGCAATTCCGAAACATGGGGGTGTGGCGCAGCAGAGAGAGTGCAAAGTTTTGTCAGATCTCTGGGGTGTCCTATCTCCCCCTGCACTACACTTGTATCTCCCTTCTGCTTCCCCATGGCCCCATGACTGGTAGGGATTGGTGGTGGTGGTGGGGATACCGCCCGCCTGAAAAATCATAGCCAAAAGTGGCACAGGGCCGTGCATTTCTGCAACGAACCATGTGAGATTTTGTGTGGTGTGCTGAAATGCTTTGCTCCTCCTTGCTTTCCCCGGCAAGTTGGAAGGGAGGAAGCGGTGAGCTTGACTTATTTCTTCCCCAGCAGCTACTGCACTGCACCATTTCTCACTAGGAGAAGGCGAGGAGCGGGAATGCTGGTTGCTCAGTAGTGGGCTCTTTTGTGGGTGTGTTGCCAATTTTTTATTAGCATGATTAGGATTAGTTTGCTGTTTTCCCTCTTCTGCAATTTCACGCCAAACCGACAGCTCTGTCATTGGCTGGAAAAATCCCCTCCCTCCCTTCCTTCCTTCCTTCCTTCCTTCCTTCCTTCCTTCCTTCCTTCCTTCCTTCCTTCCTTCCTTCCTTCCTTCCTTCCTTCCTTCCTTCCTTCCTTCCTTCCTTCCTTCCTTCCTTCCTTCCTTCCTTGTGCATGAATGAACTTGCTCATGTTCAGGTTTCCAACGAAAGGCCTTTTTCCGAACCTTTCTCTAATCTCTCTGAATGCCCTGTCCTGACTTACATTCTTCATTTTGGTTGTTGTAGTCCAAAGAAGGATGTGTACTAATTTTCTAGAGAGCTCCAGTACCGATTTCTCAAAGCAGGTGCACACATGGATACGTTTGGTGTCTTGCGTTGGGTTTCCGAGGAGTACACATATTGCAATCACCTTTGCGTATTTCCTTATTGCAGTGGGTTTTCCTTTGCATTGTTTGCTCCCTAATCTGTGCAACAGAAGCGATCCCTTCGGCATCAGAAGACGCATCAGAGGCCTGTTCCCTGCAGGCCCGTTGGCATGTATTGCTTCCCATGTTGTGGCCCTCGCTGTGGAAGGAGACTGGACAGAAATGAGCAAAGGCTGGGAAGCCATTGCTGCCACAAACCCCGCTCTGCTAGGGGGCGGGTGCCTCATGCCTCTTTTAATAACGAGTGCTGGTTTAATGGTTTTGTCAGATTTGGGTCACGGCACGCCAGGAGAATCAGAAATTTCCTGCAGGAGAGATCTTCTGAAAAATCACTCCAGCGAGCTCCTCTCCTCCCTTTTGCCCAATCTCTCTGTTTCGATTCCCTGGGAAGAGCATAAATAATACATGATTTTTTTATTGCATGGGCTATTTTTATATCCTTGGAATTTTTGTTGTTGGAAAAAAAAAAAAGAAAGAACACAGCATCTTTCCGACTGAATGGCCTCGAGCCTTTCCTGCTTTGCAGAGACAGCTGCTCCAAACCACTCTCTGTGGAATTTCCGCCCATGGCTTTTCGCCTCCTGATGGTATGGACAGAAATGTACTCTGCACATGCTTGGCAGGGCTCTGTTCTGTAACATGCTAGCTGGCAATGACCCTTTCTCTAAGGAGTAGTCTACTGAAATTAGGGTTCCCAGGTTTTGGGCCTGTTCTGCCATCTGGAACCTACATCTCTGGTTTTCAAAGCAAGGCGATCCCATAGGTAACCTCCACTTAAACCATGTAAGAGTTTAAAGGTAACCCTCAACACTTGTGGCCTTCCTTGGAAAATCATTGATGGCCAGTAGAGTGGTTTTAGTACAGACATGATCACCTTTAGATGTATCAGTAACCAATAGGGTCGTGCGCAGATTTCCTTTCCTCCATTTATTTTGGTACCTTCAGTACTTTGGTAGCCCGTAAGGATAAGGGCCCTCCCTATACAATCCCCCCTCCCCCGACATGAAAGTCAGTGAGGGCCGATCTCGGCTCCTCCTCCCCTATTCGGCCCCACAGTAGAATCTTTTCTATTTTCCTTTATTTCCTTTATTCTTTTTATTTAGTGGGACTGAATGGGAGTTGGGGACCTGAGGGATGGTAGGGGTGTGGTGTGTGTGTGCATGTTTGGGGGCTTGGAGACGGAGAGTCACCCCTTAACCTTCTTTTTCTCCTTGCCTTCCTCACCTTCAGAAAATACTTCTAAAAGATAATTATTATTAATGATAGTAATCCCAGCAAACAAAAAGAGAAGCCTACCTCTCCTCTAGAGTAGAAAGTAGAAACAGTTTTGAGGAAGCAAAACTGGCAAGCAGAAAGGAGATTGCAGGCACTGAAAACGGGATTTTTAAGGTAGTCTCCTGCAGCCAGGCGCCTCTCCTCTAGAGTAGAAAAAACCCCCTGCTAAAATGCCTACAATGACAGGAAGAGGAGCCTGGGAGCCCCCCCCCCCCCCCCCACCACCATAATGGGCCGATAGAAAATGGATCTTTCAGCATCCCCAGAATGAAAACAAATATCTGCCCTCCTGTATTTCGCAGGCTCCCAAAAAACAGATTGGGGCCCTCACTGAAAGCCGGGACACAAAACAGCTCGCAGTTTACCCAGATTTCACAAGCCTAGTAACCAACCTGACTGCCATCTTTTCTACTAACTAAAGTTTCCAAACTTGATGCAGAAGTAGCCCAATGTATGAGGTGTTGCAGACATCCAACCTTGAGGTTACCATCTTTAGATCTTCTGACTTTAGAAGGGACAAGACTGATAATAGGCAGTCTTGGTCATGGCTTTAATCTGCCATTTGAAGAAACAGATTCAAGAGCATCCCCAGTCTGCAAACCCAATCTTTTCGGAGATTTCTAACCTCATCCAGGATCCCTAAACTCAGGTTAGGACCCTTAATAGTAAAAACCCCCATCTTGTCTGGATTCCAACCCACAACCTCCTCTGGACTCTCATTCAGATGCGACACACTCTTCTTGGCTCATTCAATCTTCAAAGATCAGAGAAGAATATTTGGATGTCATCAGTGTAGTGAATAATCCCTGTCCCATGCTTCTGGATGCTTCTGGCAGTTTCATGATGGTGTTGGGAACAAAATAAGACGAAGTCCTAGTGAATCTAGGAAAACTTCTGGAGAGCTTCTGGAAGCTCTGCCAGCCCTGTTCTGATGCCCCACCTCCATTGTGTGCCTTCTTCCTTAGGCGTCTCATGAACCGCTTGGAGGACATGCGCCGGAACGTGTCAGGTGATGGGGTGAACCGCTGCATCTTGTGCGGGGAGCAGCTTGGGCGGCTGGGCTCGGCCTGTGTGGTCTGTGAGGACTGTAAAAAGGTGAGAAGACCTCTCTTACACCCACACCTCCCTTGTTGCCTCCACAGGGGATGCTGGGCATTGTAGTCCTAGTAACACTTTCCAAATCTTTAGTGCCTACTTTTGATTGAGGAAACCAATGGAAAGAACAAGAATGGGTCCTTGGGTGCTTTTTAGGATCACAGACTTTACTTTAGGATGGGGTGGGCAATGTGGGGAAGTGTCTAATGGCCAGTTTTCTGTGCGGGGAATCAAAGGATCACTTCTTATTTGAAAAAGTGCCCTGTCCAGGTTGAAAATGGTGTGAAGACCATTAAAGACCCTTCCAAACACATCATTTTCTCTCCATCTAGGAAGTTTTAGAGTGTTTTACTTATTTTTGTTGCACTAGAGCCCTGAAACACCCTTTCACCACAAGCCACACTCTGTCCAGGTAAACCAGTAAGTAGAAGTTTAAAGAAGACTGTGTACACACACACACACACACACACACACACACACACACACACATGCAAATTCAAAAAAGAAAATCAAAGTTCAAATGTTCTTTCCAAGATAGCCAAGTGTCCAAAATCCTTTCACATTCAGTCTCCAGAGTCAATTTGCAAATATATTCATAGACAAGATAGCATGAATCTAACACAGGCAACCATGCCACACATGAACCATAAGCAACAACAAACTTAGAAACTTAAATACATGAACGCAGGACCAAAAATGGAGAGCTGTTCACCTGAATCCAGTGTTGCTCTCACAAAGGATTGTACCAGCAGAAACCACTTTAAAAGGCCTAAATCCCTCCCAAGACACCATTCCTCACACACCTGCTTCTCCTCTCCTTATCGATCTAAGCCTCTGGCAAAGCGAGTCTGTCTTTGTTGCATGACCTATCTCCACAATTCCAAACACCTTAACCTAGACAAACATTTGTCCCCCACATTTCTCTCAGCCTGCACTTCTGGCAGGTTCTCATGAGAACTGATATCTCTTTCTCCAGTCTCATGGAAACTGCCTGGAGATTCCAAAAAAACTCTCCAGGCCACTTCTATCCTCCTCTGAGCCCTTCAATCTTTCCCAGAATCCTTTTCCTCATCTTCTGAGCACTCAGAATCTGTCCAGGCTACAACTATGTTAATGATAATTTTAACGTCCTACAAGGAATGACTTTGTAAACTATTAGGGTTAATTGTGATGGTCTATTTTCTATTGTATGTTTCTATGCTGTTGTAAATCACCTTGAGTCTGTTGAAGAAACATGATATAGAAATTTCCCAAATCAATCAATCAAAATGTCCAATACGCCCTCCTTGAAGCTTAGGGTAACATGCATTGACCAGTTTGAGTATGTCTTTTTCCCCCAGCTGACAAACTGTGAGGTAGTGCAGAGAGAAAGGGAGAGGGGCAGTCCCCTATCTTGTACTGTAGGCCAATGGGCCCCCTGATTAGTAGGCATTGCCCATCTCCAATTGAAATGTGAGTTTTACTCTTCTGAGCCTCATCCTTCTTCTGCGCCTCATCCTTCTTCTGCCTGCAGCCTCTCACTCAGACAGGCAGGTGGTCCTCCGACCTCTCTGTCTTGCGCCATGCTAAGGCTTTGACACAGTGATGAGATGTTTAATTAAGTTGGAGGCAATTCCCCTCCAGAGTCCATCTTGCAGTGCCCAGGTCAGACAGCACACCTGGCATTCCCAAACTGACAGTCCCATCTGCTTCCAAGCGGCATTGGACACTGTCTCTGAAAAACAGTGGGTCGCTTCTGAGTAATTCTTGCCGCCTTTCTTCCTCTGCTGCAGAACGTCTGCACCAAATGCGGCGTCCAGACGACCAACAACCGCCCCCATTCCATCTGGCTGTGCAAGATTTGCAGCGAACAGAGAGAGGTCAGTCTGGAAGGGGTTCATTTGAGATAAATAGGGTTTACGAAAGCAAATCCCCCAGCCCCTTAGGTATGGGTCTCCTTCAAGCCCCTTTGTTGTTCTATGTACTAGGAGCCTCCAAGGTCAGTGTTTCTCCAGACTTTGAATACTGCTAAAACATGTTTAGCTAGACAGAGGATGAGGAAGAAAAAGTGGTGCTAAGTGGAGCCTTGTGAAAAAGACCTTTGTCACCACTGGTTTTATCAACTGAGCTATGCCCTTGTATCCTATATGTGTGTCCTATTCTCTCTTTTATGCTGGCTGGGGGATTCTGGAAGGTGTGGTCCCCCAAAGCTTGGCATGGAATAATGAATCAGCATCTGCCAGGATGCAAAGTGAGGAATCACTCAGCCCTCCCAATGTTGCTAGACTGCAACCCCCAGAGGTCCCCTCACAAGCACAGCCTATAGGAAGTAGATCAGCATCCTGCAATCATTTCCAGGTATGGAAACGTTCTGGAGCGTGGTTCTTCAAAGGGCTGCCCAAGCAGATGTTGCCTCAGCCGATGCCTATCACCAAGGAAAAAGGGCAACCAGAGCCTGGTGACCAGGCACCTCCCACTCAGGACTCAAAGCCGTATTCTCGGGTGCAGAGACATGGTAGGATTTTGTTTGTTTGGGGGTGGGTTGATGGTAACATTCAATGATGAATTCTGTATTTAATTGCATAATAGTCACACTCCCCTCTTTTCATAAAAAACACGGGGTTCGACTATTACATGAAGATTTTTTTGTTTTTTGTTTTTAATAAATAAAATGCCTTGCCTCTGAAAGGGGAGGAGGAGGAGGAGGATGATTCAGCCTCAGACAAACAGCCCTGTTTCTGTTTTGTAGTGAAAGAAGGAAGGAAGAGGGAACCAACCCCAAATGGGGATGCGACTATGTGAGGAAAACAAAAATATTACATTTTTGTAGGTTTTTAAAATTATTTTGTGGTGGTGACTATTATGCAATGAAATAAGGCATATCTAACTTCTCAGTAGAGCTGGGAAAAGCCTTGCCCGCGGTGGCCCTTTGGGATATGCCCAATCTTTGCCAACTCTAAAAAAGCCCATCTTTTTTGTTTCCAAGGCCAAGCTGAAGCACCTCCCCCCATGGAACAGGAATCCTATGGTAAGCCTGGGTTTTTCTTAGGCAGCTACTCTGCTTCAAGAAAAAACGAATGGTCCAGATAGAGAGGGAGCGAGCTCAGAAAAGTGACCTTTGGGAAACTATGGTTGATGTTCAGCGGGCCGTGACATCATCCTCCAAAGTCGCTTTTCCCGAACTCTGATGTCTTGTCAACCGTCTGTGGATTGTTGTATCCCATACCCAAAACAGTGGCAGTGTTTACCTCATCCGCGCACATGGCCCACCATTTAATAACATGTGGTGCAACTGCTCTTATTTGCCTTAGAGATTAAAACAAGACTTGAAAAGCAATCTGAGTGAGTTCCATGGGAAACATTTTTGTCTCACTATTGACCCCATTCTATCAGGGGAAGAACTGTTACCCTACGTATTCTGAACTGCGTGTAAATCCTAGCTTATTTTGTGTTGGCATGTGAGCTTTAGAGAATCAGAGACATTGGAGCACTAACAACAACAACAACAACAACAACAACAACCATTTATTTTCTGCCTCTTATGGCTTTGGGTTCTCTGTAGTGTTTGCACATTGCTGAACATTGGATATTGTTTGCTGTTTTGAGTCCCATTCTTGGGAGAAAAGTGGGAGAAAAGTAAATAAATAAATAATAGGGAAAGATTTAAGTTGTGCAAAATCTTCTTGTTCCAATAAGCAGAAATCTTGATGAAATGTGCACCCTTTTGCTCTGATTCAGAGCCTGGAAAATCCTATTTTTTCCCAATGGTTTGAACAGCACCCAAAATGGAGATTATTTGCGAAGTAGAAGGTGCAAAATTCATCTGGTTAGCTTTCACGTCCCACTGGCTTCTTTAGTAGACCAAAATAGGCCATCGCTAGGGAGTCGGACATTAACACATAAAGCTTTGCATAACATTACCTTGAACAGGTTTGTGTTTGCCATGTCATGGCAAAAGTAACTTTGCCTTGGCCGGGGTTTTTCTTATGGTTTCTTTTGCGGTACATCCAGAAAGCGAGCCAACAGAGGCTTCCAGCCGGGGAAACTACCCGCCAGTGAGCCGCAAACCTTCTGAGACCCGGATGGCAGGAAGTGGCAGTGAATACACTGGCAAAGGGACTGGAAGCCGGGATTACGTTGCTGAGAATGAAATCCACCAAAGCCCTGGAGGTGAGCAGTTGCAAGAGAAAGAACAACCAGACCCTTTCTTGTCCTAAAACTTTGCTCGTATGTCTCATCCAAGGCACATGAAGGTGCAATTCAAGAGAAATGAAAGAACAAATCATCTCCGTAATATGCTGCATACTTGCAAAGCATTTTCTAGTCTGACATGATATGAAATATCGAAATAATATCCGCTCTTCAGGTGCTTCTGTCAAAGGTGGGTGGGCATGTGTTTCGCAGTTGCTCATACAGGAAATTGAAAGCAAACCCAAATGGCTTCCGGTCCCCTTGGCCACTTGCTGCTTGCCATTTTGTGACAGAATATGCATTTCTGCTGTGGCTAAATATAGCTGACCCACTTGTGCTTTCAGCTGGCTTGTTATTATTTTATTTTTTACTAAGTGTTTTTTTTTTTGTTTCTCTGCTCCTGAGATTCTTGAGGAATACATCCAATGACTCTGGGATCTTTTCCACCCTGAGTTGACTGCTGTTACAGCTCTAAAACACATTTGGATTCAATGCCTCCTTCCCTTTGGGATGCTTGGGCTGTCCTGCCCTGAAAAAGTGACTTTCCCTTCCTGAATTGCCTCCCCTTGTTCTCTCTTTTAGGTACCAAGCGAGCTGGTTCTACTCCTGGGACTGCGGCGAGGCCATTTTCTCCGGCTTCTGCTCCAAATGCCTCTGCTCCACAGGCCGACCAAGGTACGTTGGGTCCTCTTCCAGTGCGAACCATGATGGATTTAGGAAACATTGCTTTTGGAGACTACTGCATTGTTTTTAGGATGGGTCTGTGTCCCGGTGTGTTTGTGTGCCGTACCCTCCGATTGTCTGAATTGGGCAGGGTTACTCCTCTGTATTCCTACTACCTCAAATGTCCTGGTTTCTCTCTGCTCCTTCCACATTCTGCCTTCTTCAATTGCTGCAAACTCAGCAGAGGGGAGAGGAGGGGAATTAATCCTCTCCTTTCTAGTTAGTCCAAGCAAAAACAAACTTCCGCAGCCTCTCCTAGCTTGTCATTTCTGCCTTATGAATAATGTTTGCCTCTAACTTTGCTTGGCCTCATGTATCCTGTTTTTCATCCTGGACATGCTGAAGGATATGCAATGGCTTGATGGGTTATTTTCTTGGCTTGACAGCTCCTTCCACAGCAGGCAGACAAAGTCCGGGCCCCGCTGGCCGCTTTCCAGAAAGGCAAGGTGAGATGCCAGCCCAGTTTTCCCACAAAGGGGGTGGCAGGGTTGACGTTGGTACCTTCAGGCTTCCTGCATCTCTCAACCCCAGCCGCCTCCTCTGGAGCTCAAGCTGGACTGAGGAGGAATCTTTGGGCGAGAGCGTTTCTTGGAATAGCACATACACATTGGCTTCTAGAGTCGCCAGAGCTAAACCTTGGCACGGAACCAAGACAAGGGAGCAAAGTACAGGAAAATGCCACTTTGGGGCTGCAAAATTCTCCCTCTCCCTTTGGACTACCTTCCCAAATGAGAAAAAAAAACACGCTTGTCCAACTCAAAGCGCAGCTTGGAGAGCTTTCCTGGTCAGAATACAACTTCTGTGCATGCTTAAAAACAAAATCTGTATTCTGCTCCAAGGAGAGCTTTCCTTGGGGAACTACAGCTTGCACTCTTTGCTGAAGAAGAATGGACACTTAGAACATCGGCTCATTTTGTTAAAGAAGACAGATGCCCGGATTCATTGGCCTCCCTCAGAAATGTTCTGCTGAATGTTTATCAAATATAGTCTACCGATTGCGGGTGAAAGGGACCCGGTGGCACACTACTCCCTTGTGCAGAACCAAACCACACACAACTCGGCCTACAATGGAGGGCAGGGGTGGATGGCTGTGGCAGGGGCGAAGGACCAATATTTGCTGTTTTTCCAAGCCCTTTTGTTTCTTCTCCTGCAGGTAGCCTTTCAATGGCTCCCACCCAGGCTGAGCCATCCTATTCAACCCCAGGCCCCTCCAGGGATGAGCACCCAAGCTCTGGTATGGCAGAGAAGCCCATGCGGCAGGTGGCACCGTATTCCCAAGCTGCTGCCGCACCGGCTGCGCCAACTCCTTCCAGGCCACCTCCACAAGACGAGGATGAGGACGAGGCCAACAGCTATGACTCCGACGAAGCCAGTAAGTCTACAGCCCCTTCCCCTTTTGCCACCGCATTTGTGGTTCTCCTCCCCTGTTTGGCGAACTGTTGGATTCTTCACAAAAGTGGGCGAGCTGCTCCAGGCCTTTTGAAATGCCATCCCTTTTTTCACATGATGGTGGCTGTTTTTTTGGAGGATTCACTAAGTGCTTTTAATGGCTGGTAAATAAGTAATGGGGAGGGAAGGATTGGATGAGGCCCTTTCTCTCGCTCATAGAAGAGAATGTCCCTCTCCTTGAAAAAAAAAAGCCACATTGGAAAATATACATTATTCATCAGGAAAGAGAAAGAAAAACAAAAACAAAACAAAACAAAGGCCTCTGCAAGTTTCTTCTTCCATTTATGTGTGTGTAACCCAATAAACAGAAAAAGAAAAATAGGTGGATGTACCTTCAAGTCACCTATTGACAAATTGCGACCCCAGGGATTTCTAAGGAGTTTCTTTAAAAAGGAATGCTCAGAGGTGGTTTGGCTAGTAAGTTTCCTTTAGAGATGTGTCTCCTCTAGGAAAGACAACATCCTTCAATTTATTTATTTCCTATATTTGTACCCTGCCCTTCTCACCCCCCCCCCCGAGGGGGGGGGGACTCAGGGCAGCCTCACAACAAGCACCATGCAATGCCATCACCATCATAAAACATTCAATAAATACATGCAAAACATTAAAAACGGTTAGTTAAAAACAATTGATTAAACACGCCAGTTCAAAACCAAATCCAAGTCTGGGTCAATTCACTGTCACAAGTTGACTAAGTCTTCTTTCCACTTGCTGCTATTCAATGGTCGAATGCCTGGTCCCATAGCCAAGTCTTAAGTTTCCTTCTAAAGGGCAGGAGGGAGGTGGCCAGTCTGATGTCCCTGGGGAGAGAGTTCCACAGATGGGGGGCCACTGCTGAGAAGGTCCTGTCCCTTGACCCCACCAATCGTGTTTGCAATGGCGGTGGGATTGAGAGCAGGGCCTCTCCAGATTATCTTAAACTTCGTGATGGTTCGTAACAGGAAATACGTTCGGACAGGTAGTCTGGGCCAGAACCGTTTAGGGCTTTAAAGGGTAAAACCAGCTCTTTGAATTGTGCTCGGTAGCTGATTGTCAGCCAGTGGAGCTGGCGTAACAGAGGGGTTGTATGCTCACAACTTCACAACCTCTGAGGATGCCTGCCATAGATGCAGATAAAACATCAGGAGAGAATGCTTCTAGAACATGGCCATACAGCCCGAAAAACCTACAAGAACCCAATGATTCCGGCAATAAAAGCCTTCGACAATACTTTGAACCTTTGTTGGCTTTTGTAAAGTAATTTGGATGTCTTATGTTCACTTTCTATGTTAGTTATAGTTTTTGATAGATTATGTTTTTATCTAAGTGATAGATGTCATGTTTAGCTGTCTTTTTATGTGGGGTTATTCTGGGTTATTACACTTGTACTTATTGTTATTGAGGCATTGAATGTGTGCCTTTTTGTTTGTTGAAATCTTCCCTGAGTCCCCTTAAGGAGATAGGGCAGAATATAAATAAAGTTTTGTTATTGTTATTATTATACGCAGGGACACATGAAAGGTGCAGGGGGACCAGATCCCACAGAGACCCTGGGCATCGATTGGGAAGAAAGTTTAAAACACATACAAAAAAGGGGCCATATTTGGTGGGGAAAGAAGGAAGGCAGCCCCATTCTGTGGGTGTGGGGGTCAGGGGACTAGGGCATGTGATGATCATCAAGCTGGAGAGAAGTCACCGAGGATTTTGCTAAAGTCAGCTGAAGCAATGCCAGCTTGCAGTAGCCCACTAAAGATAAGCTGAGATACATAACACAGAACATGCATTTTTATACATCTCAGGTTCAAAATTCCTGCTGTTCCCATCTGGACCCAGCTTTGCTGTGATTGGCTGAGCTGGCATGATGTCAGTGGGGGCTCCCTGGAGAGGTGGGAGTTTGGCGCGCCTCAGCCAATGGGAGGGCACCAGCTGCCTCTGATGTAGATTTCCTTGCGTCCAATGGTTGGAGAGAGGCTGGCAGGTCTCAGAATAATGGGCGAGAGAATGACCTGTGATGGGATTAAACATCTCTGATGTGCAAGCACGATGACCCCGATGGGTCTTCTGAAACCTTTATTGTCCCTTATGTATTCAGTCCTGTTTGAACCCAGCGCCCCGAGCACCGAACTCCCATACAAGTCCTTGCAGAGAGTATTGTCCATCCTTGGAAAGATAAATGCCTGGTGGCTGGGAATTAAAAAGGGGGAGGGATGGCCTTTCTAAAGACAGTGGCATGGTTTCCCCAACTGCAAACTCCATACCAGAGTGGCAATCCCTGCTGGAAGCCTTGTCCCCGTGGGTTGGGGGTTCACACACAGATTGGGGCACATAAGCCTCTCCAAGGGGATCCTTCCTTCTTTAATCCTCTTATAGGGATGAGAAAAAGCAAGTAGTGTGGGAAAACAAGAGAGGTGAGACATGCCTCCTTTTCCAGGAGGATGGCCTACTGGCAAGGGATGGGGTGCATCTCACACGGGTAGGAAAACACCTTTTTGCTCACAGACTCGCAAACCTCATTAGACGCACTTTAAACTAGGTCCACCGGGGGAGGGGGACAACAGCCTTGCGAACACTACTTTACCCATAATGTCTGGGAATCGCCAGAAGGCTAAACGGAGGGCTGCACAAACACAACAAGGACCAAGTACCAAAAGCACAATAATCCCAATTAAACAGCTCAAGGGAAGATCTCAGGGGCTCACATGTCTTTACACTAATGCACAGAGCATGGGAAATAAACAAGACGAACTCCAACTTTTAGCACAACACCACAAATATGATATCATAGGGATCACTGAAACCTGGTGGGATGACTCCTATCGCTGGAATGTAGACATCGAGGGGTATAACCTCTTTCACAGAAACCGAACAAAGGGGAGAGCAGGCGGAGTAGCCTTATATGTCAAAAACTCTTATGCTGCAGAAGAGATTCAAGACAGCAATCTGGGAAACCAGCTTGAAATCATCTGGATAAGAATCAAGGGAACTGGGACTCAAAAAGATGTCGTTGTAGGCGTCTACTATAGACCCCCAAGCCAGGAGGAAGAACTTGATGAAGTCTTCTGCCAACAGTTGACCAAACAGGCACAGAGAAGAGATGTAGTAGTCATGGGCGATTTCAACTATCCCGATATTTGCTGGAAAACAAACTCGGCCAAGAGTACAAGGTCCAACAAATTCCTCGCTTGCCTTGCAGACAATTTCATGGTCCAGAAGGTAGAAGAGGCAACAAGGGGATTGGCTACTCTTGATCTCATACTAACAAATGCGGAGGACCTGATCGATGCGGTTGAAGTAGTAGGATCCTTAGGGGCAAGTGACCATGTGCTCCTGCAATTTGAGGTACAAAGGAAGGCCGAAACTAAGACAAGTCAAACCCGCATTTTGGACTTTAGGAGAGCTGATTTCCGAAAAATGAAGGAAACGCTGAGCAGCATTCCGTGGACACAGATACTAAAAGACAAGGGAGTTACAGATGGATGGGAATTTCTCAAGAGTGAAATACTCAAGGCGCAATTGCAAACCGTGCCAACAAAGAGAAAAAATAGGACAAGTGCAAAGAAGCCAGAATGGATGTCCAAAGAACTTCTAACTGTGCTAAGACACAAAAGAGACATGCACAAGAAGTGGAAAAAGGGAGAAATCACCAAAGAAGAATTCAAACAAATAGCCAACACCTGTAGGGAAAAGGTCCGCAAGGCTAAAGCACAAAACGAGCTCAGGCTTGCCAGGGACATTAAAAACAATAAAAAGGGATTCTTTTCTTATGTCAGTAGAAAAAGGAAAAACAAGGAGGCGATCGGGCCTGTTCGAGGAGAAGATGGGGCAATGCAGACAGGGGATGATAGGGAAGAGGCAGAACTACTTAATAGGCCTGGGTAACAACAGAAAAATTTGTTTCTAAAATCGATTCGTTTTTTGGGGTTTTTTGCGTTTCGATATTTAAAAGAATTCCGAAATTTTCCTTAAAAAAAGTTCGATATTTACGAAATTTCGTAAATGGTAAAAAAATTACAAAACAATAACGAAACAATAACGAATCGATTCGTTAATGGCGGCCGTGATCGCAATGCTAAAAGACAAGGGAGTTACGGATGGATGGGAATTTCTCAAGAGTGAAATACTCAAGCCGCAATTGCAAACCGTGCCAACAAAGAGAAAAAATAGGACAAGTGCAAAGAAGCCAGAATGGATGTCCAAAGAACTTCTAACTGTGCTAAGACACAAAAGAGACATGCACAAGAAGTGGAAAAAGGGAGAAATCACCAAAGAAGAATTCAAACAAATGGCCAACACCTGTAGGGAAAAGGTCCGCAAGGCTAAAGCAAAAAACGAGCTCAGACTTGCCAGGGACATTAAAAACAATAAAAAGGGCTTCTATTCTTATGTCAGTAGAAAAAGGAAAAACAAGGAGGCGATAGGACCTCTTCGAGGAGAAGATGGGACAATGCTGACAGGGGGTAGGGAAAAGGCAGAACTACTTAATGCCTTCTTTGCCTCGGTCTTCTCACAAAAACGAAGTCATCTTCAACCTCAGCAAGATGGAGTGGATGAGGGATTGGAGGACATCCAACCCCAAATTGGGAAAGAAGTCATCCAGGAATACCTGGCCGCTCTTAATGAGTTCAAGTCCCCAGGGCCAGATCAACTACACCCCAGAGTATTGAAGGAACTAGCGGAAGTCATTTCGGAACCATTGGCAACCATCTTGGAGAGTTCTTGGAGAACGGGAGAAGTTCCAGCAGATTGGAGGAGGGCCAATGTGGTCCCAATCTTCAAGAAGGGAAAAAAGGATGACCCAAACAACTACCGTCCGGTCAGCCTCACGTCGATACCGGGCAAGATTCTGGAAAAGATTGTTAAGGAAGCGGTCTGCAAACATTTAGAAACAAATGCAGTCATCGCTAATAGTCAACATGGATTTATCAAAAACAAGTCATGCCAGAC